CCTGCTCCCATTGGCTCGGGGCAGGCTATACCTTTCACTTTCCGGCCTATAAACCCAGCACCTCACACCCTATTGGCATATTCATCGCCCTGATGACGGAGGCAGTATGACCTCTGAAACGTTGGTTAACATCGACCAGACTACACAGCGCAATAACCCAGAAGACGGATATCTTCAACTAGAATGTACTCTGTTGTCAACAGTTGATTCTTTGCCCAGAACAATCACTTTACAAGATCATGTCTTCAGAGTTTGGTTTTATTTTAATGTAATTTATGGTTTAGTTTTAGTTTTGGTGTCATGATTTTGCATTGGTCTTTTATTGAAGTGCCTGAGTACAGTCATTGTATTGTGAAGTTTGCCTGTTTGCAGAGTACATTAGGTTTCCTTTGTCAAGAATCCACCCTGATATCTTGGTATCTCTGAACATATTCTAAACAAGAATGAGACATACAGTGCAAAATATGTGGTATTGCTTTCCCTTGTACTATTGCAGAAATGATTATGGAGGTTATGGGACAATTAAAGATATATTGTGATAAGTCTGTGGAAGAGATTTCTTGAACAACTACAGAGAAATGTGTTGATATAGCACATATTTAAACTTGTTAATGTATATCAAAAAGTAATAATTGCAGGTTACTAAATGGTAGCCTTGATGAATTATTTAAACATTTATATAATGCACTGGATCAGGTATTAAATGAGCATATGTATTTACTAATATGAGATTAACGCAGATGTCAAATAAAATAGTTGTGACCATAAACAGTTATTAGAAACTGTAAATGTATATAATTTAACATTAACCATAAATATTGTGAACATGAGTGTGCAGCATACAGACTGGAAATATTGGCAGTTTGACAAGAAAGTAACTAGATTGATTCTAGATCTATTATGTGTGTTTAGTGGTGGCAGTATTTTTGTATTCAGCACATTGGACTTGAAGTTTGCAATGTGTTTGTGGTTCTAAAGTTTCTACAACTGCATTTTTGTCCATTGTGTTATACATTTTACAGTGTCATGAAAATATATTACTTTATCACTTGTCACACACCAACAGGTATAACATTTTGTCAATAGAAGTTTCTGTCCTCTGCAGCAGTCATTTACTTTAAGTGCTAGGCCTATGGGACATAAGTTGAACTGATTTTTCTTTCATCAATAATGAATGTGTCTACGGAGGTTTGGTATGTGTCCATGCGGGACATTTTTACAGTATTTTGTACAGTATGCAGTAATAGTGTGTCTTGTGTCAGGCTGAGTGCTATCACATGCAGCCACTCAGTTCTTAGGCCCCAGGAGGAAATTGGGAGACTGAGGCTGAAGGCTCGAGCTGCCACATCTACTAGGGATGCAAAACGGTGGCCCACAGGCCATGCACCAAGTAAGAAAACAGCAGAAGCACACAGCAACAGTGAGGTACTTCTTGTCTCTTTTCACTCATTTTATTATTATAGGTTTGGCTATTCAGTGCAGGATTTTTACATGCTGAAATATTAGGGGAATGGAGAAAATTGCATGGGTTTTATATTTAGTATTTTTTGGACACTTAACTTTTATTTGCTGGTTTATGCTTGATCTGTGTACCTGCATGAACTGAACCATAGTTTTTGCTTAAATATGTTTTAGTTGAACCAATTAGTTTTCTGAGTGTACTAAATTTAATTAATTTTACTTACATATTATCTCTGTCTTCTCAATATAGAACGTGAAATGGGAAAATGATCTGGTTTTCAATATCCACTCTGAAAATATCCAATCATTTCTTAATTAGTTTTGTCTTTTTCCCTGAAAAGAAGCATGATCCCACTGACTTCAGATAACCTAGCAGCAGGAAGGCAATAAATTTAATTATATATTTCCCTTGCTATTTAAATAAATATAATGAACTTTTCTTTGTAAAGGTTGCTTCTACAGATGGATCTAAGGGCAAAAATGGTACAAAGAAGAAAGAGTTGAACACAGGGATAGCTGCCATGTTTGCAGCACAGACATGTAAAACTAAGCAAGGTGGCCCAAATGAAAAGGTGTGTTGAAAACATTTTACTTTTTCTTGTGTTGATAGACTTACATTGGGGATGAACAGAACCAAATACTGTTTGTACATCCATCCTTTCAGCATTTTGTGATTTATTGTTGCATAATATTTTAATGCACATAGTTGTATACTAGCATACTGAAAACAAGTGTCAGAGAAATGTTAAATCTGTTATTATTAAATAGTTAAATGGTTTTTTCCCTGGCATTATTTTCACTACGTAATATGCCAATATATGAAAATCATCTCATTATCTTTGTTACACAAGTTAGATTACAGAGTTAAATTCATGGCAAGGATGAAAATTTCTGCATTCCTAAGTAGTTTCTTCACAGTTCTGTACAACATTAGGCTTAATTGAATTCTTCCATATATTGTTAGTTTAATTCCTTACCTGTGAACTTATTTGGTAATAGATCAGTGGTTTTCACATACCCTAACTTGATTATATACTGTTATTACAGGTAGCCCTTGATTTGCGCTGTTTCAATTTACGCCAGCAAGTCAAAAAAGTGAAAAAAATATAGTTTACTATTATTTATAACGTTATACAGTATATCTCATACTGATTTTTATAAATCGTAATTCTTACACCGCTGATTTGGAATAAAAATTATGAATACAGTCGTCTCTGCAATTACGTATGTTTTGTTAATGCGAATTTGCTCCAATGGGATCGATGAATCGGTAAAAGCTGTTTGTGAAATGCAGACTTTTGCATATATGAGTTTGCTCTTATGCAATTTCATTCCTGGCGCTTTAAACTTTCATAGGATTAATTTAATCTCTGCGGAGGTACCGGGGTTATTTTTACTATGCGATTTTCTATAGGTCGGCGTCTTACATGAATGTAACTATCGCATAACAGCAGAGATGACTGTACACATCAATCATGTGAAAGAATCGCAGTCAATCGTGGGGACCAACGAATTGCCGATTGTAAGTGTATAAAATATATTTTTTAAATTCCCTTTATTTTATTTATGTTATTTCAGAGCTTTAAATGTATTACCATTATATTACTCGTCAATGTTTGGGTGCTGGGAACGCATGTCATTGACTTCCCATTGATTTACATTATAAAAGAGTTTCAATTTATGCCGGTTCGTCCAGGAACACGTCCCCGGCGTAAATCGAGGGCTACCTGTATATTCATATGCTAATGAGATTTATAGCAGACCTATCCTTAACATGTTTTATAACAAACCTTCCAACATAAATATATTATTTAAATCTATTATTATTATTAAGTGTTCTGTCTTACGACAGGTCCATTGCTCTGCCCAAAAAGAGCTCTCCAGTTGTCCCTATTCTCGGCTTCTCGCTTTAATTCCTGGAACTATTTAAATCTACTTATTGATAATTAGCACTGTTGGTAGTTAATCATTATTATGTACTTTAATGTATAACTATGTTTATATAGACATTAGCTTGGTTTTTGTTGATGTGTTTAATTTTCTTGTACTGACTCAATAATTGGCTCATGCAGCTATTGCATTAGCACTTAAAAATTAAATATTCAGTTGTTGTATTTATGATTTTTGTTCTCCTGTGCTGTATCAGTAATTGGCCACCTGGCTGTTCTTGAACACACTAGTAATAAAGAAATGAAATGAATTTCTTACAGCCTAAAGCTGCAGAAAATTCATCAGACAAACCAAAAACTAGCAGTGGCATCACTATGTTTTTCAATCGTCAGACAGAGAAACCAATAAAACCAAGTGTTTCGGCTCCTAAGGACAGTCCAAGCAGTGGATTAAGCCCCAAAGATTCTCATGGCAATGAAGTGGATGCAAGCTGTGCATCAGAGAAGCTGAAAGAGAAACAAGAAGGCAATTCAAATAAGAAAGGAAAAGTTTCAAGTAATGTTAAGAATAGTAGCATAAAAAACACTGAGCAGAAGTGGGGAGGGGGAAAGGGTAAAAGGGTGAACACTGATGAAAAGCTGCTACCAGCAAAGAAACGAAAACGAATTGTTGTTGTATCAGATTCAGAAGACAGTAGTGATGATGGTGAGTAGAAGCTGGACATTCATATTATGTATCCTTCATATCTCTTCCTTATTGCAGTAGGTTATGGGTACATGTCAGTTTTTGGTATACTGCTTATAAAGTGAACTGAGACTAATTCATAATTGTTTGTGGCAGATGTATTTGGCAGAGATGGTGGTGATGCCCCTGATATGCCTCCACTACCTGAAGTTGCTCCACATCATGAGAGCGATACTGATGATGTGATACCACCCACTCCAGAGGCTGAACTGAAGAGAGGCCGCAAACGTGTGCGTAAAATGAAGGACAAAACATACGTTGATGAAGATGGTTATATATGTAAGTATGGATCTGCCTTCACAAAGGTCTTTTTAGCAGATTATGTATGGCTTGACTGTGATACCTCACTGACCTATAGACTGCATGGATGGGTCTTGATTCCTGGTAGGGACACTGGGATTTGTATCTTTCCTACAATGTCTGTAGTGCACGTAGTCTCCTGTCCAGTGGGTGCTGGTGTAAGCAGCAGACCTGCACTTAGTACATCAATCATCAATGTAGAACACGTGAAGTTTTATCCCCCCCTCCCCCTACTATGACTTCATGGGCACAGAACAGCTTTTATTTTCTATGATTAAATTTGTCATAAGGCCCGGGTAGGGGTTTTGGGTATATTAGATAAAGAAGACATTTGTCGATTAAAAGATTTGAAGTGAACTCTGCTACATTTGTCAATGCACTAAAAATGAGACTGTTGTAAACCAAAATTTGGTAGCGTTATTTTCTCCAAACCATATGTAATGGTTTCAATGCCATGGCCTAGTCATGTTGTGTTAGATGGTTGCATTTCTATCACATTTGATGTAATGGTAAACACAGACACATTTGCTAGACTCTTGCTTTTGATTAAGGGTGTACCGCTTGACGGATGACCTGGGATTCACTTCTCATGCAGTATTTTTGAGCACGGAAGTTGAGTTTAAATACATTTTTGGTATAAAACATTCATATATAATAGCTTCTGTTTGTAAATGCATATGTTGTTCAGAGATACTATTTAATAACAATACATTAATTGAACCTTTCACATCTAACTTCTCTAAAATCTGTCTTAATGTTATTCTTCCATCTGACTCTTTGTCTCCCAAATGGTTTCTGCTCTTAAGGTGATGAAGAGTAAAGATTATGAAGCTACTCATGATGTAATTTGTTATATTTTCATATTACTTCTTCTTTCTTGTCTCCAAATATTCTCTTTAGCATTTTGTTCTGGAACATCCTCAACCTCTGTTTTCCCCTCAACATTGCACAGTTGGAAACAGCTGAGAACAGAGCAGATACTACAAGCTCGTAATATATTTTGTAGTATGGTGTTTATGTTGATATTATTGTCTGTTGCAGTGACCTGCAAGGAATATGTATTTGAAAGCTGTACAGATAGTGAAGTAGAGCAAGAAAAAGAAAATGAAAAAAAGTTATCAAAAGGAAATTGTGAACAATTTGAAACAAAGAAATCTGAAAGTGTGAAGCCAGTTAGTAAGGAACCACCAGCAAAGAAGAAAGCATCACCACAAAAAACTAAGCAGGCAACTCTCATGAATTTCTTCAAGAAAAGCATCTGAAGTTATATCACTTTCCCAGTTAATGTGTGTGTTATTTTTGAGAAGTTTGTACTTTTTTGTCAACTGTTGTTGAATGCAAAATATACAGAAGTTCAAGGAGGAGGGTAAAGTAAAATTAGTTACTTTCCCAAAAAGAAGTTGTGTTGTTTTATGAAGATTTAAAAAAAATTAAATTAGAAGAAAAGTTATTCATACATGACCGTTGAAGTATTTAATGTCACGTGCTGGACAGAAACCAAAGAAATTGTGTTGTAAGATCTTTTACAATAATTTTATTCTCATTGACATTACAGTGGAATAGTCACTTTAGAGTTTATGCATTCCCTAATTTTATTTCAGCTAATATGGCTAAGAAACTTACTATGTCATTTCAGAGTGTGATGTCTTGTCATTAATGTATACTGTATGCTGCTTTGTGATTAAGAAATGCAAAATTTGAGTCACAAAAATTTGAATACTTGATTTTTACCACAGACTTAGCTGCTAACATAGATATTGATGCTTTGTAGTGTACCATATATTAAATGTTGGTTTAGCCTGAATTGAAATCAGAAATTCGTTTTGAACATTAATGCACAAGTGTCACAGTTTGTTATCAGAGATCATGTTATTTCATTGTTTATGAAAATATGAGACAGTTTTTCTCCATTTAAGCACGTCTGTATTTCTTGCAAACATACTTGCATTGCGTCCATAACTTCTACAACTATTATCCACATTTGCACAGTTTACTGCTGAATCCATAATTGATAATACTGTAAGGACATCTTACCACATTGAACCCAAAGGGATTGGCTGCTTCTTTACATTTTTGCATTCATTTACTGAGCACCCTGAGCCAGGGGTGGCCAATTTTTCAGAATTTGATTGTTTTATGCATGCTTGGAGTCAGTTAACTAGAGAACAAACACTTTCTGTATTATTGTAAAAGTCATAGTGGTGCACCCACTGTTCAAAAAGAATAGCAAACTGATAAATGCAAATTTGTGATCAAAATTATTCTGCCTCTTTAGTATTTTGTAGGACTTCATTTTTACTTTGAATTACATGTTAATCAAATTTAAAATATCTGCTGTAAAGAGCACTTAAACTTGCATGTTATCACTCAGAGGTTAGCAGTACTTAAAATTATACAGGATTTTAAATCAGTTTGTGTCAGATTATTGAGGGTTTGCTAAAATCAGTCAGGAAATATTTTATTATCTTAGAATATATAAGTGAGAATTACTAAAATTGCTGTATTCATCCAGTTGTACAAGATGACCTTAAATATAAGATGGCTGCCCTCAGTGAAAACTTGTGAAGAAAAACTGTATAACTTGTCTACATGTATAATCCTTTCGTGCAGCATTAATTTTACATCTCTTCATAGTGACCTGTTTTGGATACACAGGATGCTTCTCTGGTAGAACTTGCTCATGTAGTAGAATCGGTGAAAGAATTGACACAGGTAATGGGAGTTACAGCCTACCCCCACCTACCTAATCTGTTACAGGGGGATGGACCTGCATTTGATCTGATTTTTGCACTGTAGTATATGAACATTGTTGGACTGCATTTTAAATGGTACTCTGTGTGTAGTTAATTTAATCTCTTTATTTTTAGGTAACAAGTGGAAAGGCAAAGGATTCTGAACTGCATCATAGGATTTCCCACATTTAATCTGGTCTTCATTTCTTCATGAATCCAAATTTTATTTGTTTCCAAATATTTTAACTTTGCCACACTTTCAAAGAATTTATTAGCTGTCTTTAAATTCTGCATAAATTTTATGAACTTCATTTAGAAGTCATATAAAAATCTCATATTGCAAAAAATTTAATGAAGTGCAAGCAGTCATGTTTTGATGTAAAAAGTAAAGTAAAGTTTGTCCCACTATACGCCATGTAAGCGTTTGGGGTGAGTGGAGGTATAGCTCCTCTCTTCCTTGACCTCGGCACTAGATGGGGGTGAGTGGTCAGCATCACGCCCCGGCCGACTTTACCCCCGGGAAAGGACCCCGGTACCCATTGTAGAGGAGGCTGGGTGGGCCCCAGAGCCGGTCTGGACGCAGAGGCTAGAGGAAAAATCCTCTGCCCCCGTCGGGGATCGAACCCCGGCCGTCCAGCCCGTAGCTAGTCACTATACTGACTGAGCTATCCCGGCTCATCATGTTTTGATGTACAATTTTGAAATTTGTTACATAATTTTAAAAGTTCCATGTTCCACAAAAAATATGTATTAAAATATTTTGTACAAATATGGTTCTTTTAGATGAATTTTTGATGAGATACATGTGAGGTAAGTTTTAAAATGTTTGTAGTTTTTCATTTAAGTGGTAGTTAATAGTGCAAGATTTTAATTAAAATTTAAATTGGTAGGCAGGTTTTAGTAAAACTCCCATATATTGTTTGTCATTACAGGATGTCCAATGGTTCTTGAAGTGAAGCTAGTGGACAGACAGATGTACTGATGAGCACAGCTTCCCTTAGGTGTACACAGTTCATGCACATTGTACAGAACTCACATAGGAAACCAATAACTCTTCACACTGAATTTACAAAGGTATTTTAACCATACTGTATAGACTTTATGTATAAATTTGTCCAACACCAATTTTGTATAACTTTATTTCTGGTAAATGCTCCTATTACATGTGATGATTAGAATTACACTGAAACAATAAAAAGAGCATAGATGGAATTAAGTAACAGTGTTTTGGGAAGAAAGTTCATATTTCTTCCAGATACAAAAATGTAATATTTAAGGAAATGGCATTCCCCTTGTACCTTCATCATTGGTCCAATTCAAAAATGAAATACTGGTAATTGTTAAATCTTTACATGAGATTTCATTCACAGTTACCTATGTCTGTCACAGTGTACACTCTGTCACCCATCAATAAATTGAACAAGGAATAACAATTGAAGGGTGCACAGATAATTCTCAATCCAGATGATTTGTAAATGGATAATTGGAAATATACTGTTCATTCAGGGATTTTAGACATAGGACTGGTAATGGATATGCAAATCCAGCATTGTGCATAAGATTTCCATCTTGAGATTTAAAGAACTTTGTCATCTCAAAACACTTTCATATTTGCTCAGGCATAAGACTAAAATTGATCAAGGTTTTACACTTTAAAAGTCAACAGATTCAGACCCATGAGACTATCTTGTAGCTTGATCATTTCAACCAGTATATAAATTTTAGTAGTAATTTGAAATATTTATATATCAGTGCATTTTTTTAAAAGATTGCCTAAGCTGTTCTCTACCCTATTTTGTAAGACATCAACTGTCCTTGACATAAACTACAAGAACAAGTGTTAAACCTTTCCCTGCAGGTATATAAGAGAGAAGTTGAAAGTTAACAACTTCTGGTCTGAATGTATTAACAATGATTAATTTTCTTGGTCCCTTGAAAATTGTACCAATCAAGTTTCAGTGTACTAGTTTTTGAAATAACATGCACATTTCCTAGAGACAAACTATACAGTTTAATTGATTTTAACATATTTGACATTGTTGAACATTTCTTTAATCAGAGACTATACTAGCATGTCACACATTGTCTAGTAAGCCCAGTTTTAAGCATTGCCAAACTACATGAACATGAGCTTCAAGAATCAGCTTAAGATTGAGCACACCAGGGCCTGGCGTGGCCTGGCTACCTGTGATGGAATGTCTTTTTGTATGAGAAATGTTGCAAAACAATTATAAATAAAATAAGCTTTGTAAGAGTTGAGGTTTTCACAGCAGTCAGTATGAAGATTTCTGCCTTCTGGGTTGTTGCGCTGTGTAGTCTGGTCAATGTCAACCGACGTTTTAGAGGTCATACTGCCTCCGTCATCAGGGCGGTGAATTACCCTGATGACCTCTGAAACGTTGGTTAACATCGACCAGACTACAGAGCTCAACAACCCAGAAGACAGATATCTTCAAAAGAAGCTTTGTTGAATGATGTGGCAGTTTATAAAAATAAGATTAAATATTATTACTCAGCTGTAGGGATGGGTTATTACCAGTAAATGAGATGTGAAGTGGTAATCTTAGACAAAAAATATGTCATCGGAAAGTCATACTCTACATTTTATGTACTAAAACTGACTGAATTCCTTAATAAAATATCACAACAATAATGCCAAGGCAAACTTCATATTCAATACTTTACACTGAAGGGACAATTAAGTGCCCCTTAAAGACTGATAAAATGAGAACTACAGTCAGACCAATGTTATATGGGTGATATTTTGCATATGATATCATGCATGCAATAAAATTTACAAACAGATTATCACTGATCCTGTTATATTTATGTGTATTGTATAATAAGAGAGGTTTTGTTGTTTGATTCTTAGTTGTTTGCAAGGTTATTGCTTCTTTGTAAAATAGTATTCGCTTGTGCTAGTTTAGCAGAAGGTTTCAGAAACAGGAAAACCCCCTGAAGCATCTAACAAGCTACAATAAACATTTTTTTTCATATGGGTCCCCATGGTACGATGTCACATTTCCAACATTTTGGTCTGGGATTGGAATTTTGATTTTATTGTTTGAAATATCTGTCACTTAGCAACAAACTCTTTAGGGACTTTGAGCCTTTCAAAATAGTGACATTATTGACTTGTACAGTAGTCATCACAGCAGATTTCATGTTGCTAGTTGTGTAAGGTGTTTGTTCAGTATGTTGAGAACTATATTTTCACCACTATGATTATACTTATTACCTAATGTAATGTCTGCTGTGCTACTCCTCAGTTCATTCAGTTTCAATTTCTTAAGTAGTTGTGCTTCATGTCAAAACTGAATGGCCTCATATTGCTTGCTTTGTGAGTTTGAATACTGGCACTAGATTAAAAGCTAGTATATATTTCCTCATCACAAGAATTCTACCAAAGGCTGTTGAAATATTGGTATAAATATGTGCTTAAAGAAATTTTATTATAAAATCTTGCAGTTGCTTGAAAAAGATATGGCATTAAAAGGGTAAAATATTTTGATTTCCAATGAAAGGAATTTTATATCCTTGCAAACGTTATAACATCTGTAGGATTTGAGGTTATCATTGGCTTTCATACCTAGTGTGAGTATTTATGTTACATACTTACAGGTTACGTGCATGTTAGTCAGTGTATCCATGAATTGGTACCTCTAGTTACTTGACAGCCAGTGTTTTTTTCTCCTAGAACTTACTAAGTTGCAGCTGTTAAAGTAAATGGACCATGCAAATGGAATAAAATGCCAATAAAGTAAAGCAATATTCAAACTGAATCCAACATAAAATTTTGTATCTTGATAGCATTTTTAGGATGTTTGGTTATTAATCTTGGTCCTGTTAAAATCTTCCCAAATAATTTTAAATTGAGATTACTCAAAGAAGGCAGACATATTTTACAGACATCATCATGATATTTTGGATTCACTGTGACTACTATACAAGGAATTGTTTGTGCTGCCTGCATAACCCATCCCTGTGTTTGGCATTCAAAATAGCTGTACATAATGAAAAACCATGTAGTTGTTACATAGCTATAAATTGACGTGCTACTAAAAATATGCCTCATAGAGATGGCAGCAACATTTCTGAGGCGAGACACGTCTTCCGAAGTGCTACCTTGCCAAGGCTCAGCACCTCCTCTAAGCGTTGCACTTTGGAGCTGCATTTTGTCTTGCACCGTCGCCTAAGCTTCTTCTCACGCCTTTCGAATTTGCTCGCATGCTCTGAAACATTCAAGCATTGCATGTTCATTATCTTGTACTGTTATTCATGTGACAGTTTTGTAGTTGTACTTCACTCACTCACAAAAGAAATTCACAACCTTTTGCATTACATGCAAAGATTATTCAAAACTACAGGCAAAATTATGGTTTTTATACAGCAGACAAGAAGACAAAAGGTTCTGAACTGTGAAGTTGTTTGAAAATGGTATATACTCCAAACTAGTTCTCTCTTCTGATGTCTTACTTCCAGATGTTGTGCCAAGAGGTACAAAATGGAACTTATGTCTCAGGTCCTCGAAGTTGCTTGCAGTGATTGTCTGCAGTTGGAAGGAATGGACGGCTCCATTTCTCATCACCCATGAGTGCAACTCAGTTTCGCCTGCCTTAGCATCTGGATGTTGGAATGCATACTGTAAGCAAGATAGTGACAGTTATCATGAGAATTGAATTTTGTGTAACCATGAATTTGTGTTAAATCTATATTGAACTGCAGTGTTTGTTGGTTGGAGAATGGATGCAGATCAGGACCAACTTAATTGCTGTTTGACAATTCATACAAAGATTTAAGTCAAAGTATTTATCAGACTGGGTTTCTTGTCAAACCATAAGAGTTACTGGCTGCTGTTTATTAAGTTAATATATCATATAGCTTTCTGAGTGAAGCAAGCAGTGGTCATTTCATGGGGAATAGAAATTTGGAGATGACTTCAAACTTATCATTCTGTCTTTGTCATTCTGTTTTTTGAAAAAGAAGTGCATAAAATGAATGCATGAAGGGAAATATGTGGTTGTGTGTGTGAGTGTGCATGTGGTTCTTTTCTATATATATTTCTTAGGCTAGACAAAGAATAAGTGACAGACTTGCACATTTGCTAACCAAACTACACACCTCACAGTGTTAGGTGCCAAAAATACTTATAAGTTATAGTGTGTTCTAGTATATTGCTTTCATTCACACCAGTTTCTTGTTTAATGTTGCTTTCAATTAGAATAATAATTAATATTTTTACTTTTGAATGTTTGGGGCCTCTTAAATTTGACACAGCTTAGGGCATCGGAAGGTCAAGTCTGGCCCTGCAAAGAATGTTAGTGATATCTGGTACTGAGGGTGTATATTAGAGGTGAATCTAATTTTGGTTCATATTAGTCCTGCATAATGGTATGCATAGAAATTAACTGACAATTTCTGACACATGAGTGTTTATGCTTACACATAAGAGGTTCGTACTTGTGGGTATTATGATGTGACCAGAAATAATGCTTTGACTCATACAGCTGTGAACTCAAGACATGAAAAGGGATACAGGCATTATATTATGTGAATTCTGTAAGCCAAACTTGGACAGACATATATGGGAAGCGTGAAGTTGAAGTCTTGGATATGTTGGGCATCTACTGATTTTAGCATTACCTTAAGATGTAACTTAGTTTTTTAATAAACCCTGTACAGTGAAAATTGTGATTGAAGAAGTCAAATGAAAGGGAATGGAAGAAAAGAATAGAAGAGAAGGTAAAGAAGAATAAAAAGCAATAGAATAGTACAAAACTCGAGACCTAGAGAAGCAAATAGAATAGAATAGAACAGAATACAGGAAACAAGTAGACTAATAGGAAGAAAAGAGTAGACAAGAAAATGATGAGAATGGAATAAAGTAAATAAATAGAAAAGAATACAGTGAGGCATAATCATCTTATTTTATATTTGATTTTGTATAACGTAGGAAGTCAACATGGTACCGTTAAATAAATTAAGAAATAAACACATTGTTATGACTATACGTGAAGATACAACCTGCAGAAACTCTGAAAGATTTCCTGCACCTTGGGCCCGGTATACAACCAGCTCTGCAGCTTTAGGGATGCACTGCAGTGCTCCAACTTCTGGTATTCCTTGTTGTACTGCTGACATAACTGCAACAGTGAGGTAACATCATAGACTATATGGAAAAGTGTTCCAACATTAATTACAAGGACATAATGATCTATATAGGATTTGAGGTTTTCACGGTGGTGAGTCTGAAGATTACTGTCTTCTGGATTGTTGCAAAATGTAGACTGGTAGAAGTTTACTGATGTTTCAGAGGTCCTTACTGCCTCCATCATCAGGGCAATGAGCAGCATCATCTTGCTGACATATAAGTTAATTTAAATATGCAATTATGCAAAGTCTGCTGATATCAATAACTGTGTTCCAAAACTTTAAATATTGTGTGCTTGGTTAGGAAACCTTAGAGAAACAGACTATTCTAGAGAAGACAGAGGTATATACCGAAGGATATCAAGCTAGATCTGGAGTAGAAACTGAAGTTGGAGACTGGATTTAAATCTCCTAGGATTGGGACAGTGGTGGCCTTTAGCATGGTAATGAACCTTCAGGTCAGATTTTTACTAGATTATAAGCAGGTCATTTGCAGTGTGACATTTAGAACCCAGCAGTTTCCTTTCACAAAAGTGCTACAAAGGAACAGGATCTTTTTACAAGCTATGGACATGTACAGAAGTGAAATCATGTGAGATGTATAACAAATAATTTTTTAGAATTATAAGAAGCAGAGTTTGAAGGAGGGGTTTTGTTTTATACATAATTTGTTCCAGGGTGTATTGTTTAAATCTGTTATTAAAATTTGGAATTTTGTTACTTCTTTATGTTTAACAAGGGACTTCTGTGTGTTTCATAAAATTAACTTGTGCTCATATTAATCTCCAGGTACCAGTTCCCCTATGGCCATCCATGCCTTCCTGTTATTTGAATAATGTTTGTTTGACAAGGGTATTTTAAATTTGGATTCTTGTATTATTGGAATCAGTGATGATTACAAATCTGGCTTTTATATTTATTAATACACACATCACATAATTTTTAAATAAAGTAAACTGCACTATAATACTTCATTGCTATTTAGGTAGTCAATCAGTTGATTAATTTATTAGTTAGATAGCTGAGAAATCAGTTAGTAAGGCAAGATTGATCAGTCAGTTGTAAATGGAAGGATAAGGTTAATATTGATCACAGAAATGTAGGGTGTTATGGTGTGTGACTGGATTCAGTTGGCTCAGGACATATCCTGTATTAGAGCTATTGTGGACTTAGTAATAATCCTTTGACTTCCGTAAAAGATGGAATTTCTTGGGCAGCTGAATAATCACCTTTTCAAGAAATCCCTGCCTCATGGAGTTATTTTTTCAGTTATACCTGTAATGGGGCAGATAGGGCAGCATTGACCAAACTGCTTTGCCGGCTTCACACATGGCAGTTCTGCTCGACTTGGACACTTGAATCTGTTGCACACAATGTTTCCAGAGTTACACTGGCACATGACACAATCCATTGGACCAAATGGACCAATCACAGGATGCCATGATGACCCATCTAAATAATATCTGTAATGCAGAGAAGAAAGTGACAGAACTTTTCAAACTATTAATCCTTTCCCTGTAACAGACTCTCACATATTATACTATGGATGAACTGATTCTTCCATATATGCTGAGTTCCATAACACTGATTTCTTAACTTCAGAAATACCACAGTGAAGAAATAAATCAACTTCGCCATGATGTTCGGTTCTATCCTGTAAGTGTTACTAAGTTTTCTTAACCTACATCCCTTATTTTAAATGCAGATAAATTCAGAATAAAGGAATATGGACAACTACTTATTTGTTACAGTTATCATCGTAGTGTTGGTAATTAGTGAATACATATATTGTGTGAAGATTGCTGTCTTCTGGGTTGTTGAGCCATGTAGTCTGGTAGATGTTCACTGACGTTTTAGAGTCCCTTGCTGCCTCCATCATCAGGGTGATGTGATCTAAAACGTTGGTAAACATCTACCAGACTACTTGGCGCATCAACCCAGCAAACAGCAATCTTCAGACTCACCATTGTGAAAACCTCAAATCCTATATATGTGTGTGTTTTGTTTTGATATGGTGTCCTATCACTATTTTTGTTTATTATTGACCAGTAGCGTTTTGCAGTTCAGAAAGTTGACATTCATTGCGTTATACAATATACAGAGTGTAGACCTGGAGACTTACTTGCCAGCTGATATGCAATCCTTGTCTCGTCGGTCCCGTGGGGCAGTTGGGTCCTTGAATGTCACAGGGGATGATAATTCTCTGTTACCAGCAACTTCTGCAGAAAGACAGATTGATTGGGTCCTGGGTTAGGTAGGGTTCAGTTTGTTTATTATTGTGGGATGTTGACAGCTAGATATAAATTGAAATATATCTGTCTACACAGATATCAGATTGTAATTAGTTTTATTAATTTTTAACGTGTATGATTAATAGCAGTTTGTTATAACACAAATATAAATGAATATACTGGAATTATTTATAAATGTATCTAAATAGTTACTGAAATATATGCAACATGAATAGTATAGTAGATTTATTGAATGTGCCTACAAGTAAAGATAAGTTATGGTAAGTTGATAGCGGTAACATAAATATGATATGCTGATGTGCTTGGCCAGGGTATCTCAGTCAGTGTGCCACCGTATGCTGCAATGTGGGTATAGACTGCTACAACATTTTGTTTAACTTTCAGTTGTGTTTTGACACATTTAACAACTTTTCAGATTCTATGCTTATTTTGTTGTGACCTGTTCTGTCCTCCAGCCTGTAGTGTTGTTTCTTTAATTGTTGCTGCATTGATATTTCTTTATGTCATTTACTGAATTTTTTTAGAATAGTCATTTTTAATCCTAATATTTATTTTACCAAACTCTGATTATTTAATACTTTCTGTAAAATGTTGCTAATCTGTACTCTGCGTGCCCACAGTTCACACTGCATACACACAAGCCAGTGTTCCTCTTTAATATCTTCAGAATATTTGCCAGTACACAAGGACATTCTGAGTCATTAGTTGCTGGCATTAATCTCATCTGAGTGAGTTATGTATGGTACTGTGTATTTCATCTGTCTCTGAATCTGATGAAGTCTGATTAGGTTTATGTGTGATGTATTTTATTTATTTATAGCTTATTTAATTATACTTTTTCAGTAACTGAGGTTATATAGTGTGAAATGAGACAGTGATAGTGAATTGTAAAGGATGTGGAATGAAGCAGTCATGGCCTAATATAAGGTACTATCCTGGAATTTGCCTGGAGGAATGGGAAACCACGAAATATCCCAGTCAGGATAGCCAGTCTCCAGGCTGAGATTTGAACCAGGGATCTCCTGAGTACGAAGCAGGAGTGCTAACTTGACCATGATGTTTGGTATGTGTAATGTAGAATTCAAAGGTCTGAATAATTTTGATGCTGACTTCTCTCCTTTCTGAGAGTATTTCTCATTAGGATTCCTTCAATTATGAACTTGTCATTGAATTTCTAGTGGATGCTGGATGTAGGATTGCATCTTTGGGCTCCATAAAATGCAGGGAATGTACTTAGTTAACTATTGCCTTTTCAGGAACAGCTTTTGTCCCTGTAGTTAATTATGTATGATATGCTTCTGTTGTGATGTTATATATCCTTGCTAAGAATTCACTGCACTGTTCAAAGTAAAAAACTTGTGTCCCAGCAATGGAACTTGGAAACTTGCACTGGCCCTCACTACCTGCTTGAGTAACCCATATGTTTATTGTTGTCACACTAACCTGGGCATATAGGGCAGCAGTTGTCAGGACTGTGCATTGGTTCATGGCAGCTTGGCTCCTGGCATGTCTGTACTTCACATAATACAAGTCCTTCCTGTGCATAAAGAGAGATATGCAGAGATCAGTAGTGTTGGACTTTCTGTTTCACACGTGTACTTCAAAATGGATAGGTGTAGTTTGTACTTCCTGAACTTAAACCATAATGTCAAGAAAGAGATACCTGGCACTTGCATTGGACGCACTGGTTGGGGCTGTTAACTTTCATTCCAGTCGAGTTGGATGGGAAGTTCTGTCCATCCTTGTAGATACGTCCATTGTGGATGCACGCCACAACATCAGGTGATGCCGGCCTGTAGTTGGATGTTCGTGACTCTGCAGCAGTCATTTTATCAGTTGGCTTATACAGTTATGAAATTTCTCATACACTGATGAAGAGTCGGTATGAATAGGATGAGCAGGACAGAGCCTCAACTGCCTTAACATGATTTTCAAATGGTAATATAAATATGTTGCTTCAGTACCTAAACATGAAGCCATAAAAGTGACAAAGACTCATCAGCAAATCAAATTCTTTATTCTCATGGGCCAAACCTGCAAGCACCCACAGGGTGTGAGGATTCCAGACAACTGATTCATGATGGTTTATGATTATAACACCCACTGTGAACTTATAATAAACGTTAATTGTATTATATTTTGCTTCAGGTCTTGCCTGGTGTTGAACTCTGCCACTCACCATGTCTGTCGTTTATCTGTAAAAAAACTGTAACCATTTGTGAGGTGGAATTAATTCTTCCATAGAGTTAAAGAAAGTGTGAACTTACCTGTGCAGATCCTACAGCATTCTGAGGAATCCTCACTGCTGGAACATGTGATGGGGCATTCCCTGCTAGAGCAGTTCATTCTGCCTCCCTGCAAAAACAGAGCAGAGTGAAATTATGAAGCAAATTATGTTCCAGGTGTATGGCAATCTGGTGTCTGCCCGTAAGTGATGTCATCGTTACCCAGACTGAACATTTGCAATTAAAATGTATTATTAAAGTTGTCAGATACCAGTCTTCCAAACATCTGGGGTGAAAACATGACTCATTTCCCATTTCTAAGAGATTCAGTGAATGACAACACAGCCCTGTGTCATCTCCGTCGTGATTTGGCATAGAACACCATTAAAAGCCGCAAAAGGAAGAGGGGAAATAATTGTGATGAAACAATCTATCTAGCCATTAAAATAAAAAAGCATTCAAAAAGCCATAAGTCTTAAAGTAGTAATGTTCCGATTCAGCTAGATGTAGTACTCACATAGCCATGTGTTTGAAGATGGATGTTGCATTAAGTAGTGTGAGAGATACTGACCGATGTATCAGAGGAGCTCACTGCCTCCAACATCAGGGTTATGATGGAGGCAGTAATTTCCTCTGAAACGTCTGTCAGTATCTGAATAAACAGAACGGGAAATCTAATTTCCACATGTGCCCATTTCAATTGGATGTTAGTAAAATTACAACATTCGTTAATCGAAATATAACCCTGTTAATGTTATAAAATTGTATGCTCATGTGTGGACGAGTATATAGGCTGAAAGCTAATTAACAGGTCCACTGACCACTGGTTGAGAAATCCTGTGCTAGTACACAGTTTGTTGGATCTAGGGGAACGTCGAAGGTTCACATTTAAAGTGGATTTTGAAGAAATGTGATTAGAAGTGGATGGAATTGTTTCAGGGTCGCCAAGTCTTATGATTCTGCAAGTGGTGCCACACCTGGTAACACTGGCAAGTGACGCAGAACACTGTGCCCTGTGTCTGCAGACGCGGGTGCCACGTTTGGCCTACGTCGTACTCTGCGCCTCCGAAACGGCATTTGGTCGGTGGGTCCTCGCTTCGGGTCCAGTCTGCGAACAAGACACATGTTTGCTGGTAAGTAATGCATACAGTTTTAAATGCCCTTACGAGCTTTTTGTATGAAATCGATTATCTAAATGACCGTGATCACCACAGTGGCACTCCATGCGATTACTGCACAAAAATTTGAAGCACGAAATTAAGCTAAATATTTTCTAAAATTGTAGTTCCCTCGAAGAAACAATTGATCAGTTGGTTAATGCCATTTATTGCTGTTTATTCTGAGAATGATGTGAAATCCATAAATATTCGGTGGGCAAAATACAGAGTTGTTGAATGTCAGAGTAAATGGTAATGTAAATTACCACGCTGCTTTAAAGAGTTAAGGTGAATGATTGCAGAAGTGACAATGTGTAGATATTTCCTGTGGAATATATGTTTCCTGCTTGCGTTCTTCGCGATTTGGCGTGTGCTTCAGCTGGAGTACACAGTTCTGCTTTTGTTTGCGTTCAGTGAAACCCAATCAGCGGTGTATCGATTACGGAGATGATCTCCCACGTCTTAGGGGTGATTGATGGACGGGCGCGCGCAGAGATTCTTGCTTGATTGGAGCCTGCTTCTCTTGTACGCACTACCGCTGGCTCAACATCCACCCTTCCGCCCTATCGACCCATATATTTCATATTAAACTGGTATGAGGGTATTTTAACAAATTCAGGGTAGGCTGTACCTTGAAAAACTTAGAGTAAGCTAATTCATCTCGTACGGGAATTCCCAGATTTCATGAAACACGAACGTTTATTGCCGTGTTGCATATTTGTGGTTTATATGGCGTCAAATTATGATTAAAGAATACTGCATTTTAAAACACGTGGAATGAAGTGGTCGTAATGTAAGGTACTATCCCGGAATTTGCCTTGAGGGAGTGAGGAAGACCACAAAAGATCTCAATAGGCGTTCTCTGGGCAGAGATTTGAACCCGGAACCTCCCAACAGAGAAGCAGGAGTGCGAGCCACTGGATATTACCGTGTCAGCAAAATCTCACTATTGAGCCCTACTCTGACCTAGTTAAATTCGGTCTACAGGCTCACATCTTACGTCTGTAAGATCTGTTGTAATATTATACTTTTTGTAAGCCTACGTGTACCGCGAGGTTTTCCAACTGAAATGACGTTGACATGTGCAGTTCTCATTCACCTTGTGATAAATTATAGTTTTTGAAGGACATATTGAGTTAAAAAATCTCTGAACTTAATGGTACACGAAGACTGTACTCGGAGATGTGTTTAGTTTTGATCCATTTCAATACAGTCCATAAATATAAATTAACCGGTTTTCTCAGAAACGTCTTATTGTACAAACATGCGCAAGGACATGAATTATGTAGAAAATTGAAGTCTGTAAGTTTTATTTGAAGAGTATCCGTCCGTTTTGTGTATTGAACGAAATATGAAGGGAAAATACTTGTGCTCTGTAATATCTGAAGCGATCCTATCTTAAATACAAAATTTGAAATTTGATTTGGCATTATATAGACTCTCTGAGATGTAAAATTCTATGAAAGGCCTTCGTAATATTTGTGTAACTTATTTAAATATTCGGCCTTATTCAGTAAAGAATAAATGAATCTCTACGTAAGAAGAATTGTATTTGCTTGTATGGAACTGCGATGATAAAAATTTATCAACGTCAGTTATAAATACTGACACAGTATCTGTATTGAAAAGTTAATTTGTTTATCTCTCTGGGAATATTATTAGAAAAATTGAAGGCAAAATGTCCTTAAGCACCACATCACGGCGACGTATAAGAGATATGGACGCGAAGCTCCACTCATTCTCCTGGCGAAGAAAGATCTCCCCCTCTCCATCCGGAATCCCCATGCACGAAGTTGGGCGGGTTGCATGAGGCGCCAAAGAGATAAATCCCTGTCCTCGACAGGAATCGAACACCTGTTGCCCGCCCCGTAGCCATTCACTTTACTGTCCGAATGATTTTGTCTCATAAAATTAGGTTAATGTTTAAGTCAAGAGGCCGATAAATTCTCAGATTCTTGTTATTATTTCGTGCCAAAACTGTTCTGTGCTAATTTCGTCATCCAAATTATATTTACTGGTAAGCTTGGAGAAGTTTCAACGTAGGTGATATAGGCTATACAATTTGATCGCGGTTACGAAATTGGTGCTCTACGTGATACTGACATGAAGCCGAGAGTCAAAATTTATCTTAAGGATTTAAATTGTGAGAACGTGAACTGGCTCAGAATCGAGTCCAATTGGCGAACTTTGGTATTGGCAGTTTTAATCCTCACCGCTGACCTAGGAATGGATGGTAAGAAAATATCAAAATGAATGTTAAAGAACAGAATACAGGGGGTGTGGACTACATTAAATAGGACATTGACAAATAGGCGGGAGAGGAGGGGGGTTGGGAGCACGGCAATGAACCTTCAGGATCCATAAAAGGCGGGGAATTTCTTGACAAGCTGAACGACTATTGATCTACTCAAAGGGTTCTTGACATCGGCCCTAGTTGTTGGGGATGGTCGTCGTATCCGCTGAGGGACGCGATGCTATCTGTAATGGCCGGGCTTGGCTCCCCGCTGCG